CCCCTCCATCATCCCCTCACCCTCCATCATCCCCTCACCCCTCCATCATCCCCCTTACCCCTCCATCATCCCCTCACCCCTCCATCATCCCCTCACCCCTCCATCATCCCCCTCACCCTCCATCATCCCCTCACCCCTCCATCATCCCCCTCACCCCTCCATCATCCCCTCACCCGTCCTTTACCCCCTCATCCCTCCATCACACCACTCACCCCTCCATCACCCCCTCACCCCTCCATCACCCCCTCACCCCTCTATCGCTCCCCCGGCCCCTCTGGCCCCTGAGTCCATTCTGCCAGGCAGGCAGGCAGTCTGTGGACACACGTCTCTCATGGAGCGCCTCCTTCCAGGAGGTCATTGCCATTTGCTCGCCATTGCATGGGAATAAAGCTGACAAAGGAATCGCTCCCTCAGCGCCGGCACCGAGCCCCAGTGGGCTGAGTTCAGGGAGGTGGTGGCTGTGTGCGGGGCGGGGCTGCAGGAGCCCCTGGAGACCTCAGTCTTCACAATCAGGGACCGCAGGCCCGGCCCAGCACACTGTGCTTCACACAGGAGCTGCGAGGGTCAGCTCCTAACCGTGCTCCGGAAACCCAAGCTTCCACGTAGACTGTGAGTGTTTGACCTTGTGTGTCTTGTTCTTAGGTCCCCCCCCTCCCCCAGACACACACACACGTGGACCTTTCTGGTCCAGACACACACACACGCGGACCTTTCTGGTTCTTAGGAATTTTCTTTTCCTGAAGTGGGCTTAAACATCCATCCAGATTTGGAGTCAGCGTGGGCCAGGTGTGGAGTCAGAGTGTGTTCTGACCCAGGAGGGGAAGAGGAGCTCCCAGAGTGTGTTGCCCACACTCTGCAGGTGCGGCTGGGCTTGCTGACACCTCAGAGGCTGGCGAGCTCTCTCCTGACTCTTCATCCTGCCTGGATCTAGGATAGTGCTGTGTAACGTACCATCTCCATCACCACCTTCAATGATAAGCCGTATTTTTAGACCATGGAGCCAGTGCTTGGAACATAGTAAAACTTCCTGAACTGGTACAGAGGTACACATGTGTCCATGCACATGTGTGGCGTGGGAGACTGTAACACAATATAAGATGTCAGCTGAGTCGACTCTATAGAGTGATTTCATAAAAAAATGATTTGCAGATGACAGAGGAGCAACATTCAGCGAAAGCACTTATAGAACTAAGCTTCAGATACATCAATCAGAGACACACAGAGTAAGAGACACGGAAACTAAATCATTAGCATTTTTCATCTCGGTCAATTCGTCATGTGTCCTGGGATACAAGGGTATGTTCGCACTGAGGGTGATGCTTTTACTATTATGGTTTTTGTTGTTCACAGATTATGAAGTTATGCCTATGAAACACACCATGTAAACGATCTTGACTAATATAGCTCATAAGCTACAAAGTCAGATTCCTATTCATTGCTCCGGTGTGTAAACATAATTTTATTCCTATTATTTTTCAGAGGGTGAAACAGGAGTTTGTTACTTACAGATAGCACAAAAACTCCACATGTAAACATGCTCAAAGAAAGCCAAGCCCTAGGAAAACATTTTTGACTCGAGAATATTTTTGAGTATGTCAGTAAACTTTCTGGTCTTGATGTGGAAACCATTAGCCTTTGCAAAATATTTTCTCCAAAGGCCACGTAAACTGACTCTGAAACAGGTGTTTTGTATTACCTGAGAGATTTACAACAACGTTTCTAACAAGACAGGCTGGGGCTTGTTAAAAGACAGAGATAACGCCCTCAGCAGTAAAACGTTTTATAGTCAGACACTGGGGTGCAGATTTGGGAGTCTTGGAATCTTTTCAAAGTCAGGCTTTCTCACCGTGATGAGGAATGTGTCGGTGGTGACAGAGTTCGTCCTGCTGGGCATCCCGCACACGCAGGGCCTGGAAACCACGCTCTTCCTCCTGTTCCTGGCCTTCTACCTCTTCACCCTGCTGGGAAACCTGCTCATCTTCCTGGCCATTGTCTCCTCCCCCCGGCTGCACACACCCATGTACTTCTTCCTGTGCAAGCTGTCTGTGTGTGATATATTCTTCCCCTCGGTGAGCTCCCCCAAGATGCTCTTCTACCTGGTGGGGAACAGCCGAGTGATTTCCTACTCGGGGTGCGTGTCCCAGCTCTTCTTCTACCACTTCCTGGGCTGCACCGAGTGCTTCCTGTACACGGTGATGGCCTACGACCGCTTCGTGGCCATCTGCTTTCCTCTGCGCTACTCCACCACCATGAGCCACAGAGTGTGTGCCATCCTGGCGCGGGGCACCTCCTTCGGTGGCTGCATCCAGGCCATCTTTCTAACTGTGCTGACCTTCCAGCTGCCCTACTGTGGCCCCAACGAGGTGGACTATTACTTCTGCGACATCCCGGTGATGCTGAAGCTGGCCTGCGCGGACACCTCGTCCCTGGAGCTGGTGGGGTTGGTCAGCGTGGGCCTCATGCCCCTCAGCTGCTTCCTCCTCATCCTGGCCTCCTACAGCTGCATCGTGGGCTCCATCCTGCGGATCCGCTCTGCAGAGGGCCGGCGCCGGGCCTTCTCCACCTGCAGCGCCCACCTCACGGCCATCCTAATTTTCTATATGCCGGTGGTCCTCATCTACCTGCAGCCCACCCCCAATCCCTGGCTGAATGCAACCATTCAGGTCCTGAATAACCTGGCCACCCCCATGCTGAATCCTTTGATTTACAGCCTCAGGAATAAAGAGGTGAAGTCCTCGCTGAGAAGGGTCCTGCATCGATTGGGCTTCCTTCCTGAGGAGTCATGAAGGTCAGCAGTTCAATCCACACACCCGGCACAGCACAAAGGATCTCATAAGTATTTCTGAATTTGAGAAGCACGGGTATTTGTACTATCATCTCCATTCTGTAATACGAGGAGCTAAGACACCAAGAGCTGAAATGACTTTCTGACTCTACGGCCTGTGTGCCATGGAGAGGGGCACATTTCTCAGTAAACAGAACCACCCAGACCTTCTGCTCGCCAACCTTCAGTTTTGTCATCTTTCTTTTCACACATCCTTCTTCCTTTTCCTCTTCATCATGGTGATTTCTCATGGAGGTGGCCATGAAGGTCTCCTCCGAGGCCTGCCGTGACTTTATTCTTCTGGATTTTGATGAACATGTAAAAGAGATGTAATCCTATAGTTTCAAATAGTGTCATATGAACAGTGTTGAAACAAGAAAAGAACTCATTACCTTATGTAACTGTAACCCCTCTGTACATCACATTTACAATAACAATTTTTTAAAAAGTTATATGAAAAAAAGGCCTTCTGTTGTCTGATTTCTGGCTAAGACCGACAACAGGTCTTTCCTAGGTGAAGCAAAGATAGGCAAGTCCTTCACCACTGACCCAGCCATCTGTGGGCTTAGACTCGAAGCAGACGCTGGTGTGGAGCCTTGGCGGGTGAATGAGGAGAGGGTAGACAGAGGGCCACGAAGAGGGGCTACGTCAGGAGTCCAGGTTATGAGCCAGCACGTGTCTTACTCTCGCTGATGGCAGTGCGGATCCTGTCCAATCCAGACTGTTGTTCTGTTGTGTTGTTGGCTTCTTTGTCTCCTGAACGGATTTGACTTTGCTTTTTGCATTTCTTCCCCCCCCCCCTTTCTCTTGCTCTCATTCTCTGTGTTGCTGAAATACGCTACGACTGACATTTCAGTCTGGTAGTTTTCAACTCATGAGACTTCTCCTTGGAACCAGCTCTTCAGGAACACTAGTGACATAAAACACTGTTTATGAATAGTGTTTAAGTATGTGGTGAGCTTTACAATCAAATCTTTAGACTGCCCGCTCAGGCACTGACCTTCTGAGAGTCACTGGGGAACTCTGAGCAACCAGGACAAAGACCTTCCCTTACAGGGTCATTGTGAGGATCAAAGAATGTTATCCAGGCCCAGGGCTTAGTTATTTATAAGCTAGCTAGCATGTTAGCTAATTAGTCCGGGTTTTCCAGAGATGAGCCCAACAGATACACATACAAAAAGCCCTAGATTGACCTAGTTACATCCTAATTAAGCTACGGTAAGTTGAAGGTGTTGACAGGTGACAGTACATTTAGTAGACCTAGCACACCTGCCACCGTCACTTGGCCACACAGGAGTAAACAGCTGGTCACACTGGTTGTCTATCCTGTGGATCTGGTGCAGATGATGGAGCTCAGGTTCCCCACCACTGCCCAACACTACAAGATGGAGGAAGAGGTCAAGGTTCAAAGTGGAAAGTACAATTTTTAGTGCACATACAGCATTCGTACCACTTGAAAGTAAAAAACTAAATAAATAAATCAAAAGTAAAACTATCATAAGTTGAAGACTTTGTGTCTGTCTTTGTGTGTGTGTTATCAGAAACTGGTTAACAGATTTGGAGGCTAAGAAATGCCAAGATTTGGAGTTGGCCAGTGGAGCTGCTGGGGAGCTGCTGGTGTAAATTCAGTGCAACTCTGTCTGACTGAAAGCCTGAGAAGCAGACAAGCCAGGGGTACACATTCTAGTCTAAGGGCAGGTTGTCCTGCTATCAGTCAGACCACTGAGTTCTTGTCCACTTAGCGTCTTTGTGCCACTGATGGCGGGGGGCGGGGAGGGGAGAGGGCCGCCCACAGAGGCAGGGCAAGCTCCACTTTGTGTAGTGACTGAAACGTTACTGTCATTGTGCACAAATGCTCAGAGTAAGATTTGCCCAAGTATCCGGACATTCTGTTGCCAAACCAAGTTAACACATAAAAATGAACCATTAGAGCCAGTGTTGTATAGACTACAGCATTTGAATATATAATGCTTTCTGGGTTCACTTACATTCACACAGTAGAATTCTAGTCCTCAGTTCTCTTTAACATAAGGCTCATGAGCTGCTGAGCCCTAACACATGATAAAAGTATTGGAGGTTGTATCATAATTACATAGTTCGTGTTAATTCAATGTGTATTTGGGCTTTAGCTACAAATAACAAATTGTAGTCAAAAATATAATGACAAGGTAAGAAAAAATAGTAGAGAACATGAGCCTGTTTTAAACTGACTGACATTCTCAGGAAACATCAGAAGTGACAACCTTCCTAACTTGTAATAACCTCTGGAAGTTAAGAATTTGTCAGCAATAGCATAGGTATAAGATTAAAGGTCATATTCGATTGGAGAGGGTTTCAGTTAGATGTGCAAACTCAGACTCAAATTATAACTGCAGATAGAAGAGGAAACAGTAAGGCTAACCACCAGGCCATCTTTGAGATACCAAGAGAATATAAAAGTTTTGTTGTGATCAGCTAAGATTTCTAGTATTTGACATGGGTTGAGTACTGTGTTTAGTCCTTTGTAGTCTCATCTACTTAACTCTCATAATAAGACTAGGAAGCAGAGACTAATTGATATTATCTCTATCTTACAGATGGGAAAATTGGATTAGGCAACTTGTTCAAAACTAATCACGTGGTCCTGCTATTCCCAAGCCCAATCATGAAACTCAGATAATAGCGCTTCTTTCTTAAATTAGATAATGGAAGGATCTTAATAAGAAACATATTTACAAAAACGCGAACCGCTTACATCAACTTGCCATAGCTCCCACAGGGATCCACAGAGAAGAAAACTTTTCACATTAATTAATCTCAGTGGTATCACTCCTGCGAGATGCCTCTCAAGCTCATTACAACTTTGAGTTTTTTTCCCCTCTCATTTTTGGTCCTTATTTGTGGGTTGTGTCATGGGGCAGCGTCGGTTAATAAGACAGGGAAAATTGGCCTGAGCAATGCAAAAAAAAAAAAGTTTATTCAAGTGCTTATGCCTCATGGCTATCTCTGCAACTGCAGTTCAGGGAAAGCTAACCATGAATGTGACCTCACAGGAGCCGGAGGCTCTGCCCGTTTGCCTGCTTGTGGACAGCTTTACTGAAGTTGATTCTTCCTAAAACACTCATACTTCCCAGCCTCCCTATGTCTCTTCATATCCGAGCTAGTGATAAAAATCGCACTCACCAGTTACAATGCAATTGGTAGTGGTAATGGGGAATTACGAAGGAGGACACGGAGCCTTGGGAAGGCCTTGGCTCCCGCAGCTCTGTGCTGTGTGCAGGATGCGCTCACCGTGCAGCAATGCCACTGGCATCTGGCGATCATATTTCAGGGTTCAGAAGTGGCTTTGCCCAGCACATGGCGAAGAACAAGAATTAAAACCCGAGCCACAGGGCCCACATGAGCAATTTGAGATTGGTGAATTTCAGGATGGAATGCAGAAGGCTTAACTTACCAACCATGACGACCCTCATGGTTTGAATGAACTGGAGACTTGCTGGTTCTTTCCATCAGCCACAAGGCTGAGACATGAGATATCCCACACCCAGTTCCCCTGTTCTGACTCCCTGGCTACATGCAGTTTATACTCCTAGGTATTTTCATGGCACAAAGGAATATATACTTTAAATATATGAAAAGATGTGCATATGCTCATACTGGCTTATGCATAATATAATCGCTGAGAATAATTATTTGAACAAGACACAATATATTGGACTCTATTGGTGTAGCAAAACACCGTAGAAATCCTTTAGGGTGCAAAATGAAAAATCTATACCAAAGCAGAGCAATGGCTGTGGCTCAAATGGTAGAGACACCTAGCTTTGAGGAAAAAAAAGCTCAGGGAAAATGCCTGAATTTTAACTCTAGGTGCTGAATTTTAGCCCCAGGACCACAAAAAAAGAGGGTGGGGGCTCAGAGCAATAAATGCTTATGTCCTTTTAGATGTAAGTAGATAGAGAAGTATAGGATTGTCCATGTCATGTAAAGCAATTATTTTATGCGCAATGAATCAACAGGGCAAGCAATATTCATAAAAAACACAGAAAGAAATAAGAAAAAAGTATAGTTCTGTCAAGGAAATGTATTTAAATCTATTAATCTTATGTGTTCTGGAACAAGATTTTGCAGCAATTTGGAGCTTATCTACCACATAGATTGAAGCTTTCCAGGGAGAGGCACTGGGAACTTCTGAGGATCTTTGCTTACCACTTCCATCTTTAATTCTCCCCTCTCATTCCAGCCCAGGAGCCTGGGCATAGTTGAACGCTGTTAGCTATTTGCAGTATCAAGCTGCCCATCTCCTGGTAGATGATATCTTTGCACAGCTGGCCCTCAGCCACTGCCAACTTTGTTATTTATAGAACTATGCCAAGCCACTTGGAATCCAACTGTGGTCAAACTCAAGAAACACATTTAGGTCAGATCACCCCAAAAGCCAGCAGAAGTACAACAGAAATTATTCCTTATTCCTAGTTCTTAATCAGTATAAAAGAAACTTTGAGCTTAGAACTAGAACTCTGAACTGACTACTGTAAATAGTTCCTAACTATAATTTCATTGCAATTAAATTAATATAATTAATGCAATTTATTTTGATATGAATTAAGTTACAAAATTTGGAGTCTGGATCCCAGATCTAAGTAGATTCTATCAATTTTAATTAACTTGTTGCATTAATTGAGCAAATGTTTCATGCTATGTAACAAAGAATTTCAGAGAACAAAAAAATGAACCAGAAAGAACTATTAATCATGAAACAAATTATGCATCACCCATCACAAAATGAACATAGTTAAAATATAAAATGGGTTCAAATAAGAGAAGCAAGTTCTACCTGTAAATGTTGAGACAGGCCTAGTGTAGCAGACATTTAAAGTTTTATCAGTTGAGGGGATATGAAAATAGTGGAAAACTTAGAAGAATAAAAAAATTGGGGCATTAGGGACAAAAAAAAAAGAATCCATGAGAGGCTAAGGCACA